TTTAGTCAAGAAGAAAATGGAATAGCAATCCATTTAAAGCAAAAATATTAATGTGTACAGTGATATTTCAAAAACTGCTATTCAACAAACTTTTAGTGAAATAATTTACAAAATCCCGTAATATAGACTGTCAGATTATTTATATTCTAAATTCAATAAAAGCAAATTTCTCGTATCAGATATTCCAATAAACATTTATGTTTATTTATTTTTTGACTTTATTTGGTGCAACTGTGATAAACTTGAACACTCTTTTTTCGAAAAATTTTTTAATAAGTTTAAAAATAATATGTATTTTTTAAATATTTCTTATATCATTAAATACATAAGTGTGTTGAGTAGTATTCAAATGTTAGATTTAAGTTTTTAATTAGTACTGTAAGTACGTGGGAAAAGGCCCTACCTCAAGTAAAGGGTTGTAGAATTTGTATATCTATAAAATATTGTTCTATATTAGTTGATAATAAGTATATCTCAATATTACATCTGAAGTGAACTGTTAATTTAAAACAAGTTTAACTGTAAACCCAGCAAATTTCACTGATTTCCAAGCGCGTTTTCCGATTTTTAATCATTGTTTACCCAATTAATCAGATATATCCTTTTGTTAACATATCCCATTGTTTTTATTTACATGACCGATTTATTTTGTTCACTTTTGACATTTACGAATATTGCCCACCGTAACAGAATATCGTGCAATTCTGCTTGTTATACATACTAATATGTTTTACAGTAGGACTTCTCTTGAAGTAAATTTAAGATATTCTATGAAACTATTAACTACTATATTAATGGTATTTGTAATAGTCATGCTAACACATTTAGTGTTCTATAACAGCTTAACTGTTTGATTGCTTATTATTTCAAATTATGATTCAGATCATAAAGCCTTGAGTTTGATACCATTGCAAAAATACAGATAAACAACTAAATACTTCTAAATAATTATTTTCTGTTCATTAAAAGTCAGAAGTAGGTAAATAAGTATTATTTCACTTTATAAATTACTAATAAAACGGAACCGATTTTCCTAAGCAGTTGGCTTCGGAAAATCTGTTCGTCTCCTGTCGAGGAGAAGTTCTATCCCTAACAATATAAAACAGATTTATATTCTATGCAGAATTCACACATACGCACATTATAAACTGTTAACGTGACAATCTTTTTACTACAACTCTTTTAAGAAATTAATTGGTACTTTGTGATGAAATAATTATTATTAGCGACAAGAGTGCTTCGTTGGAACACATTCTAGTGACAAAGTGTTTGAAGTGACAGTCAATTAATTACTTTCCAATTATCTCTTTATTAGTCGCCCCTAATTGGAAATACAACATTGGCTGTCAATTTAAAACCGTGGATAGTAAACAAGCTGACTACTTGAAATGTTGACACCGTTTTACTAATTCTTGTCTGTAATTATTATTTAAGTATTTTTATAGGTAATGTAAGTGATATTATGATGAAAGATTGTAAACAGATAAAAACCCTACCCATAACATACAAAAAGTTAAGTGGTATCCAGCCTAATGTTGTTTGTAGCCAGTCGCCTTTGCACTAGCAATGTGTTGAGAAACACTTCCTCTAAGAGGATTCTTAAAAGAAAGATTAACTGCTCTAAGAAAAGAGGATTTACCTTCTTAGAAGACTTTGAGTTGTGGTGGAATCGTCCACTGTTACAGGTGTCTTAGAGCAAACTAAAAAAAAACATCGCAAGGGATTCGTTATTTACACGTTTACCAAAAATAAGATCAAAATGTTATGTTAACCCATCTTAAATAGGTTTATTTTTATGTCTTTTCTTTGAGTTTTTTCATTGAAAAGATATTTTTTAGGCAAAGTGTAGTATGTTTGAGTTTTAAACCAATAATTTTTTTAGTCGATAAGCTAAATTAAGAGCAATGATAAGAGATTATGGTACCTTAAGGTTAAAACAAAGTTAAAGAAAAACTAGACACTGTACCGTTTCCCTATGAAAAAAATATTTGCTACAAACTTGAACTTAGCTTATTTATTATCAACACATAACACATAACATAACATAACATTTATGCTAGTTGTATGATAAAGCTATACTTTATTGTATTTTCCGTTCTAGTTACAGCATTGCAGTGAAGGATGGTCAACAATGATAATGGTTCACTACCATTGACATTGATATAGTCATTTGAAATATAAGAAGTAAGACACGCAGACAGTAATGAGTCACTAAACTCATCGTTACAGAGAGGATTATGACGTCATAAAGTCGTCTACATCGTAACGTATTTTTACATCTATCCAGGGCCGTACCTAGGCTGTGGCAAAGGTGGCCCCTGCCAAGGGCGCAGGTTAGACAAGGGCGCAAAATGGGCGCCGGTTGGGCAAGAACGCAAAATGGGAAAGAGGGACAAATTTTACTTTTTTTATGAGCTAGATGAAAAAAATAGAAATTGACGTTTTACACTTATGTTACGGTAGCTATAATAACGGTTATATGAAATTATTTTATGTTTTTTAATGTAATTTATTGATTTATTAACAATTATTTATTACAATGTCAACCATTGTAGTTGTACAGAAAAATGGGCGCTGGGACGTTTTCACAAGGCCCGGTGGTAAGCATGACACTATTTTCGTTTTAAAGTTAATAATTCTAAGTTGGCAACGCTGGGCGTATTATTGTTTGATTTGCAAGCCTGTTACTTCACTTGCCAGTTCTCCTCCACACGCCAGTCCACTCAGTCCAGTCCCAGTGCCACTTTCAGTGCTAAGCCTTTATACTCTACTTAGCCTATGTAGGCCTAAACCGTATTCGTATTGCGTACATCGCTTCACTTCATCCATCAGATCTCACTCAATTAATTAGGTAAGATTTGTTTGAAACTAATTACATTGAATAACCCTTTAGCCATAAGTTCCGTTTTAGCTTTTGGTGATTATAGGCCTAGAGCAAAACTACTGCATAACCTTTAACCTAATCTTAGGCTTATATGTCATGCCATCAACAACATCTGCCTTTCTGCCTTGTTTTTCTGGAGATTAAATTAACTGCCCCAACTTTATACTGATTGCAATAAGCCTACTCGCATATTCCGACTGCCTATTTCCTCTCTATTTTCTGTAATACTTCCATTCCTTGGTCCGTTTGTAGGTTATACTATAGTAGTATAAGTGCTTGGGTGCTGCTTACAAACTCTCACTGTTGGCCTATACAAAAGAACGAATTATTGGCTAGTTTGTATGTTCTATAACAATGGGCTATGTTTGTTATTTGTATTTGTAAATTTTCCCTTAAAATCCACGTCTAGCAAGCTTAGAAATCAACTTGTCCCGTCGTTTTCCCTCCAATTGGCCATGGGACCCAGGGAGTGCTGCTATCTGTGGACGCTTTAGCGAACTACGTTGACTCTCGTCGTAACGCAGTACAGTAGTCGCAGTTAGTCTGGGCGCGCGGACCCTTGTGCACTAACCATCCCCCACGCCAAAGCCATGAAGACATTGCTGAGGCGCTGAACAACCCCAGAGTGCCGTGTGGGCCAAATGTTTTTGGAAATGAGCAATAAACACTCCCCTCTACACCCCCCCCCCCTGATTGTATGTCTTAAGTTTATGCAATTCATTTTACTGTTCTGTAAAATTCTGGTTAAGAGCCCACTTCCTGATATTATTTTTTTAGTAAAAAATAATATATATTTTTTGAATTGGGGAACAATAAAATGCATTTATGGATGCTATAAAGCATCCTTGACAATCTACAAGAATTGGTATTGCCTAATAGGATTGGTGACGATGGTACAAATATGGATTCTCTATTCTATTAGGAATTGAATTTTTTTCAGAAATGGGTCCAAAGAAGAAACTTTCTGGATGTCAGTTTAAGAACATCCGAAAAGAAAAACAAAAAGAGGACAAGAAGCTAGCATCAGCACTTGGTGGCTGGCTTTTAAATGAAAATAAAGAAATGGGAAAAAAAGATACACCTTCTCAAATACAAGAAGAAGTTAAAGAAGAAGACATCAAAAATAATGAAGGCGAAGAAGAAGAATGCAGCATGATACCTTTATCAGAAGAAGGTGACGACGACGACAACCGCAGCTACATAACTCCAACAATACCAATGGACGTTGACACAAACCTCGCTACTTTAGAAGAAGACTGTGGTCCTCAGCTGGAACCATTCACAAAGAATGAACGTTTGCGTGCTGCTGTTGAGGAAGAGGAAGGGTGTAGTTTGTACGCCTACAAATGAAGGCAAAGAAATTGAAATAATCTACGACGACCCCAAGCAATGGCCTGAAAATTTTCGATCTGATGCAGTACGTTGTAAACTTGTTGAACGAGGTCCTCAAACTGTTGACTTAAAAAGCTTTAAATTTCCCTGTACAGATGATGGAAGGCACTTTTCCCGCAATTGGTTTTTTAAAACTATAAGAAATGGTGAAACTGTACAAAGGCAATGGTTGTTGTATAGCCAATCTAAGGATACACTGTTTTGCTTCCCTTGTCTTTTATTTAAAGACGATAAGTCAGCTTTCTCGGATGTAGAAAAGGGGTTTAATGATTGGAAACACCTCAATCCAACACTTCACAATCACGAAATTTCAGCATCTCACCTACAAGCATATGGCGATTGGAAAGAACTAGCTACCCGATTGCAAACTGGGCGTACAATTGACGCAGAGAACCAAAAATGCATAAAAGCAGAAGCTGAAAAGTGGCGCAGTGTTCTCAAGTGTATCGTAGATGTAATTCTTCATTGTGCCAGGAATAACTTACCATTGAGAGGGGGTTCTGACTCTATAAATGACAAAAATTGTGGTGTATTTTTAAGTACTCTGGAACTCATCAGTCACTACAATCCTCAGCTAAATGAGCATATAGCTAATGTAAAAAGTGGAAAATATGTCCCAAGCTATTTCTCTCCAAAGATACAGAACGAGGTTATTGAGATTTTAGGTAAAAAGGTTAGGTCTGAAATATTGCAAGATATCAAAAATGCCAAGTACTTCTCAATTATGTTTGACTGCACCCCGGATACAGCACGTTTAGAGCAGATGAGTCAAATAATTAGATATGTAAAAATTGTGGATGGAGAGTGTGTAATAGAAGAAAGCTTTGTTGACTTTATCATAAGTCATCAGAAAACTGGAAGAGGTTTATCTGAAGAAATATTGGACAAGCTGATGAACGACGGCTTAGATATCCAGAACTGTCGGGGGCAAGGCTTCGATAACGGTGCAAATATGGCTGGAAAATATGAAGGTGTCCAAGCTCATATATGCCAGCTGAACGACCTTGCCAAATTTATTCCTTGTTCAGCTCATAGCTTGAACCTAGTTGGCGTGCACGCAGCAGAAGTGTCAGTTCTAATGATGAATTTTTTTGGAAAAGTGTTGGAGTTTTTTAATTTCTTTAGTAGTTCTACAATACGTTGGGAAGCCTTACTTGATTGTGTAAAAACTACCCTGAAGAGACATTGTGAGACAAGATGGTCTTCTAGACGACAAGCCGTTACAGCACTGCAGAAGAACTTGCCATCAGTATTTAAGGTGCTACAAAACATGGCCGATAGAAGCAACAATTGGAACTCTGACACTACATGTGGTGCTACAAACCTGTTAAGACAAATTGATTTCGAATTTGTATGCCTCCTAGAGATTTGGACTGATGTGTTGATCAGTTTGGACTGTACCAACAAATCACTACAAGGAAAGACTGTCACTCTTGATGTAGCATCAAGTTTACTATCTGGCTTGGCAAAACAGATTCAACATCTACGAGAACAAGGTGTACAAAAGTACATAGACAATGCCAAACTAATCTGTACTTCTATGTCCATCGACAGCAGTTTTGCCGAAAAACGACTAAGAAGGGTCAAGAAAATGTCTGGGGAGATGGCTGAAGATGAAGCGCATTTAATTAGCTCTGAAAAAATCTTTGAAAGAGAGTGCTACTCTGTATTTGACAAACTTATGAGTGAAATGGATAACAGATCCCATATTTATCACAACATTTCTTCTGACTTCAGTTTCTTGTCTGGCAAATCTTTAAGTAGGAACTCTGTATGTGACCTTCAAAAATGTGCAGCGGACTTGGGTGTCAAATACAGCAGAGACATTGACACTTTTGAACTAGTAAATGAAGTAGCTGCTTTTAAGTTCCAGGCAAAAGAGCTTGTAAAAGACTTGGAGAAGGCATCTCACTTGGATCTCTTAAAGGCCATTTCAAAATACGAGTTGAAAGATGCTTATCCAAATGTAGAAATATCCTTACGGATATTTTTAACGATGCCTGTCAGTGTTGCATCTTGCGAGCGTAGTTTCAGCAAGCTCAAGATAATTAAAAACTACTTGAGATCGAGCATGTGCGAAACTCGACTGACAAATTTGGCAATTTTATCAATCGAGTATGACAGAGCATCCAAAATTGATTTCAATGAAGTAATCAATGAGTTTGCTCTCGTTAAAGCAAGGAAAGTGCAATTATTGTAAATATTGATGAAGTCAGAATACAGTTGTAAATATTAAAACTTATGTAAATAACTCTGTACAAATTGTACTTATTGTAACTTATTAAATTCCACAAAAAGGGATAGGCCTACTTTTGTTTACTACCTTAATATACATTGTGATGAAATTGGGTTAACGGATCATTATGTTTTATAAAAATATATTGTTTAGCCAATCATTTAAGCATAAACCATAAAAAATCATTATAGTGTAGCAAAAAGTTAAATTTTCAATGTCAAAATCAGAATTATTTCTTGATGTTTTAAGAGCCAGAATTGCTTAAAAATGTGTTTTACTGATGTTAAAATTTAAAATTTTTCCCCGGGGGAGGACCCCCGGACCCCCCGCCTTTCAGGGGGGTATTCCATACCCCCCAGACCCCCCGGAGGGCGCACTTACGCTGGTTCGCCACGTACAAAGGAGCATCTAGGTACGGCCCTGCATCTATCTTGTTCGTGCTTGCGGCGTGATTGCTTCCTTAGATTATAGGCTTACAATCAGAGGTTGAGATCAGAGGGATTATTATATACTAATTATTAACTAATTATTGATTATTATATACTAAAGGGTCCATATCAGCAATTGCTGTCCTTAACCTCATTTGTAATTTGGCCTTAACCATTCTCTATGCTATGCACCATTCCCAAATACTCTCCTTTGTAGTCGTGGTCTTCCCCTAACGTGATACATTTCAACACTGCATTACCATTCTAACCTAAAACGGAACACTAAAATCAATAGACAAACAAATGTGCAATGTTTAGATCAGCTGGTATATTTTAAACAGCTTAAACAGTAGAAGCACTGTAGCAGTAATTCCATCATAAAATTACTGGACCTTTGGTGGCCTGTGGGGCAGAGCAGGGTCGATTTTTGACACTTCTGATATTTTCTCAAAGTCCTTAGACCTTAAGCTTTAAAATTAATCCTCAACAGTCACGGTACTCTTTTCCTAGCTCAAGATATTTCGTGGGAACCGATTCGCTTACGGAACAAAATATATAGATACTTTACTATATAAATTTCGTTAGGTTTTTTACATAATAATAGTTTTTTCCTACCACTGCATGGAAATGATCACATTGCCATACCTGTAAATAGTACGCAAAATATCTCATTCCACTCTAGAGTGGGAATGCATCATTCTCCACCCGTCAAATCTGCTGATTTCTCAGATGGCGTGTCTACTCATATCACAGCAATGGATCAAGTAAGTAAGTTAACAACTGGTAAACAAACAACATAAAAATTTATACCGAGACTTATAAAATTAGTTTAAACCGAATATGATTGAAGGTCAAAGCAATGGTGGGTAAAAAAATGGCGATTGGTTGTCTGAGAAACGTAGAAACAATAAAGAAGCAATCACATGTCTGATTGTTTGTGTTGGTGGTTGGCGTGACACACACAACACAATCTATCTCTGGTAACAATCAAACAAATGTGAGAAGTGATTCTCAGATCTGACACGTAGATGTATGTTCTTCGTATTCTATCTACTTTGGTGTCCACATGAAACAGACAGAAATTTTACTAGACGTATTTTTTTTACGACAAAAGAACATAAATAATGTTGATAAGCATAGTTAAGAATGTTATTGTGATTTTTTTAATACATTTTATAACCAAACAAACTCCGTACCTCATCGATGTAAGGTGTAAGATAAATATTTGCAGGCTACAAAGACATAATTTTTAGGCTCATAATATTTTATTTAAATGAACTGAGTAAGTTTACAAATAAAAGATTAAATACCTTTAGTACTGTCGGTGTTAGGGTTGGGTCAGCGACCTGGGTTTCGAACCTAAGTTCATTATCAAACTGTCACCAGTTTAAACATACCGGTACTCCAAACTTCCAACTAAATCCTCTTCATAACTGGGAAGGGTCCTTAAATACACAAAACACGAACACGAAAACAAAAAAAAAACAGTTGGTGTACATTGTACACAACGTTGTATAAAACCAGTTATGTAAAAAACCAGTATTTGGTTGAAAGTTTGGGGTATGTTTTAACTGGTGACAGCTCGATAATGAACCTTTAGGTTCGAAATATGGGTTGTTGATTTAAACTTGGATCACAGATAGTACTAAAGGTATTTAACCTTTTATTTGTAAAATATGTGATCCAGAGGCCAAACATGTTAAAATGAGTAAGTATATATGATTTTGATAATAGATACAACATGATGAAGATAAATACATCAAATCCCTTAAAAAACCAATTAACTGAAAAACATTTCCCATAAAATCTTGGATGATTCTCTAAACGGAAATCGAAGTGAAAAAAGATTTAGTTAAAAGAGAAAATTCTGAGCTGAGGTAAGACTATGAATTGCATGATGTAAAGGAGTAAAAATCCCATAAGAGAATAACTTTTTGAAACGTGCATTTTATTACTGTACACAATTTAATTATTTGAATTGTGCAATTTTATATTACAACAAGATTTCTTATTGATATTTTGTGGAAATGCTTGCTGCGTCTATTTCTAAGGAAAGTCTACTATCACCTATAAACATCTTTACGTATTAGAAATTGGTTTGTCACTTAAATTATCTCAAATTATACCGAAATAGCATTAAAGTGAATAATCCTTTTGAAAATCCAAAAAATATTCCGTAAATGGCTTTTCTTTTAATGTTTTATTTTGAAATCTGTCTTAAAAACATAAACATCTTCTTGATCAGCATTGTACGTGTTATTAAATTTACGGAAAGTAAATAAAAGAGACGTCTTATAACACTTAAAACATATATTTACGCTTATACTGTAACTCACAAGACGGTAAATATACAAAAAATATGATAAGTGGTGATCGATTTCGATTGGACACTCCAATAATCATGTTTGGGACAATCGCCTATATTGGGTCTGATGATGATTGGAGTGTCCAATCTAAATCAATCACCACTTACCATATTTTTTGTATATTTACTGTCTTGTGAGTTACAGTATAAGAGTAAATATATGATTGAAGTATTATAAGACGTCCCCTTTATTTACTTTCCGAGAACATAAACGTAACAATTTAAAGATATTTATCTTAGATCCGTAAGTAAAGTACACTTTGACGTGATAGGATTTACTCAAGAATAATTTATGTGATCTTAAAAGTTCAGCCGAAAGTTGTTAGAAGGACGCCTATATTTCATTGCTGAAATTGAGTATTAACATTGAAATAAATCTGAACATTTATTTGTGAATATTAAAACTGTGTTTAAGCTATATTCTTATTTTCTAGACAACTAATATGATAAATAAGACTTGAGAGGGACTGAAATAACTCATTTAACAAAATCTAAACCAAACAAAGTTTGCTACAAGTGTAATTTTGTTTCTTGAAGAACGTAACAATTTACAACTTTCCGTTAAAACATAGCTCTGTCCATTCGATATAAAATGTTTTGCAGTAATTCGTAATTCAAATTCTTTTTTTGGATCACGGAAATGAGGAATTTATTTAATATTCATTAATAATATTGTTTATTGTAATAACATTATAACTATGACTATTATGCCAACAAAGTATTATGCCAAAGCTACTTTTCAACAGTAACGAAATCATTTTTTAAATCCGTGTTCGTTTGTTCCCTCTTACTTAGTAATGAATGATTCATACTATCAAAGAAATTACTTACAGTACATCAATTTCCAGCCAAGCCGTAATGTTAGGGTAATACACCCCCATTACTAAATTACCTGTTCGTTGAACCAGTTTCATTGACGTTTAGCAAGTAAATCTTTAGGGGGAAGATTTTATCAGGTGGTAAAATAAAAATTACCAGTATTCTTTTGTTCAATATCTTCTACTAACTTGTAAATATTTTTATAAACAAGGAAATACAATCTATTATTTATTAAATTATATTGAGGACATAATTATAAAATAACGTAAAATAATTAAACATCAGTTATATAATTTATCTTTCTGTTACTTAAAAACAATTAGAAATACTGTACTAACATTACTCATCTAAATTAAAATACAGAATTACAAATATTCCTTTGGATTGCAATCTTTATTTCCAATTATATTTCAACCTGGTTTCCCTCCGAAAATATTTTCCCAAAAAATAAAGAACAAAGCAGCCTTGCAATAAACATGGGCTGCCAATAACATACCTTGAAATGGGCTCCACACGATCCGGGGTGACTTATTTGTTATCTTTAAAAATATACAAATAGAGTAATATATTTTGTTTCTTAGCTGGAAATTTAAAAACAAAGGAATCGTTTTTGAAAATCATTGTTTTTTATGGACAGTTCCACTTAAACCATTTTTTCAAACGTGTTGGCGAAAACGATACTTTTTCAATTTAATAATATTAGTATTTAAGGGGACGGGAGTAAAAAGCTATACATTATTTTCAAATGTATTGTATTAGTTATCTATGTATTGTGTGTGTTTTATCTATGGTAATACAAAACTATTCCAACAGACGGTTTTAGGTCGTATAATGTGATAAGTGATATGGTTTCCAAAAAAATATGGGAGCCCTAAAATTGTTTCCACCAGCTGTCTTTTATATTAAACTTCCGATTATTTTAGTGATCTATACATTTATGCGTTTCATATATGTTTAGAATACCTTAAGGCCTTATTTGAATCATTAAACCTAAATTTAAATGTTTTCTGAGTCTTTTTTTTTCAAAATGTAAAAAAAAGCTTCACAACAAAAGGCAACACTAAAGAGCCTTAAGAACTCATTATAAATTTATGTAAAAGCTCCTAAAACACAAGTTGAATTGCTTTTGATAAAATATACTTAACGGTAATAAGCAACAAACGAACAATAGAAAGGTTCTTTCCATCCCTTAAATAGAAGCTTTGTTGATGCTTTGTGGAATGCTATTATAACTTTGTGATTAAGTAAGCTGTATAATAATATAATATAATAATTTTTTCTATTTACTATCACTCTGCGTCAACTATGTTTAAAATGAAATACACAAAACACTAATGAACAATTGTTTTAAG